GACGGAAAACATGAAATTTTGCAATAATCTTACGCCACCCTTGCCCAAAACGACTATAATTTTTCTAATTTCATAGACAACAGAAGACTGTATTTTTTCTACATACCCCTCCCTCCTAAATTTAAAGCTGGATCCGCCCCTGGCTTGGTTCAACAGTGGGAAGCACTCAAAAAGCGTGATTAGTTGTTGTTGGAACTAATTGTGTATATTTTCATGACTGTATTCCAACTTAATTCAAAAGAAATTCCTGGCTTCCAGTCAATTTTACTGTTTATCATTTAAAATGTCACAAATACGTTTCGATGTATTTCTTTTTCCACCATCATCAGTTTGTATGTATGGTTGTTTCTACCTTCACTTTTGGCATTGAGTCTCAATGGCCTTGGTTTGAACCAAGGAAAACTTTGAAAGCATCCTCTMGCATAGATTGATTGAACGAACCAAAACGTACCATCAAAATCCTCTATTGAAAAAGTATAAATCTACTTAAATACTAATCATTGACTAAAAACGAGWAGGTTTAATCCGCTCATCCTCCTAGAAWAATGCCACAAATGGGTAACTGAAAGAACTCCTGAGCCAAAGACGAATGATAAAAGTCCGATAATTAAGTTTGCAAGTTCCGAATGCGCGTTTGCTATCAATTTMCATGACAATTCAGAATCGAATTCCTTTCGGGGGCCCAATTAAAACGCGACCAGAGAGAGGAGAATCATAGAGCACTGAACTAATTTAAACTCGCCGATCGCGTTGTCAATCTACGACCGCCTTGCTTAATTTGATTGTAAACAGATATTGTTAGTGCCGATAACATCGTTTGTTCTGTTTTTTTGCCGTCCTCTTCCCGCTGGATCTAATTAACGTGTTTGGGCATGAAAACATCGATGGGTGAAAAGGTGAACGATCTCGACTGTGGTTTCAAACAACCCGAGCTAGAAACATCCGACTGGAAGCAAATTATCCAAACTACCACACCGGTGAACCAATTGAAAATAGAAATTCACAATTGTTTCGGAAAATTGCCTCTAAATCCTTCGGAAAACTCCGTAGTTCCAGTTCGATCGTTCCATTTGCCTCGCACACTATTTAAAAGCGACTTAATCATCATAAAGACCGAAGCCAGTCCAGTCCAATCCAATCAACTAAGCCCCCATTAATATGGATCCCCGCAAATTTATGAAGTCGAGTCGCAGAATCCGCCTCTCACTTAACGGGAGAAAATATGAATTCGTCACGGGAGTGAATCCCGAACCCGCACATCCACCCTTAACTCGATCAAATGTTTTCAAAATAATTCAATTATTGTGCCGCGTATTAGCTGAAATGATATCACAAAGGGGTGTGTTGTGCTCATGTACCTCTCGAGGGGAAAATGGAGTGCGTCTCTGGGGTTTGTCCGCAGGACTCGTGCCCTACAGGATAGGATTGAAAACAAAAAACGAACATTTCGAACAACAAACGAATCTCTTGTGGAAAAACGAGCTGCAAACCGACCTTAGAAAAATCGTTTGCAGCCGTTTTCTGGTGCACAAACTGTAACTGTGAATTTATTTATGTGATATAAATATTTTACACAAATATGTTACTAAACTCTTGCTGAAACCGAGCCTGGCTCCGCTGAAGAACTACCTTAGCAGGAATAATAGCGCATCACCCCTAATTAAACTGCGCAAAATAAAACAGAATCTCTCATACGTTTGAAGTAAGAAAACAAATAAAAACATTATTTAAAAGTGAAGCTAAATTAAAACCGCTTTCGAAACTGCGATAAATAGAATGTGAAGACGAAATGAGAGCAAATGTCTTCGAAACTACCAAAAAGACAATAAACTTGACTAATTAGTGCCGTGCTTCAACTAAAGAACGACGATTTAAAGGAAAAATATTCGTTTCCATTCGTTCTGTTCGTCCGATGCCACTTCTTTTAAGGTAAACGCGCCTTTGCGGACGGTTTGCCTTATTTTGAATGCGATAAGCATCGGACGCATACTTTCAGACGTTTGCATCTTAAACGATGCGTAAGAGCAAAGTAAGTATTTTGTTTTATTTTTTAATTCTCATGTAGATTTCAAATTCGTTTTTTACACAAAATATGATTGAAAATTGGATAGTTTGTCAGCTATTGGGCTTTAACCCTCAAAATTCGCTTTTTGCTAGAAAATGCTACTATCCAATTTTCTCTTATATTTTCTAAAGTAAAATAAAACATGTCCCGTTAGAAAAAAATATTGTTCTCTGCGCTGCACCTTTTCAGACGTACTCTGTACAATTGCGAATATTTTTAAAATATTCTTTCAATATGACGATGATAATTTTGAAACAAATAAAACCGGTTATGTCTAAACTTATTTTACTTTATCGTTGGGACACCCTGTATGTTTGTGCGTTATCTTATTCACTTGACAGCAGTTTTTGATTATCATTAGTTCTGTTCGTTCAAGGCAAACAATGAAAAACGTCGCACAAATTTGACAGGAAAAGTGTTGAAATTGGAAAAACAACGTGTAGAATCCATGTAAGTAAGCAAAACTCACTTCCAGGCTCTACCAAATTGCAAAAATTTCTAGAAAACCTGCTTTTGCTGCAATTATCTGCGAATTTTCATTGTGATAAACAAATAAATAAGATATTGGATTAACGGGTATTCAAAAGTGATGATGAAGAAGAAAGGGGCAAAGCAAGTTGAAAAAAAAAACTCAGCTCGAAGGCGAAAATTTCAATTGAAGTGAAAAAACAATAACAGAAAATGTTTACAAAGAGTTGCCAAAAGTTAAATGCCTAACAAGAATATTGAAAAACTTAACAAAAAGCAGACGAAATAGTTTGAAATCCAAACCGACGATATCGCTCCTTGCAAAACGCAATTTTAAGAACCAAATCAATTAAAAAACTCTCAACGAAAGAAAATGTATAAAAAATGAGAATTAACTGGACCTATTAGTGTCATCCTTTTTAGCTGTTAAGACGGTGTTGGTGAAAAATCCAAGCAAAGAAATACGACGTACAAATTAAGAAAAAATGGAGATACAATTCTGGAAGCCAAAAAAACATGACAGAAAATCTGTCTGAGATTTCAACTCCAAAATGCGAAAATCGCAAAATGAATAACAAATTTGCTTTGTCAGAGAAGAACATAACCGTTTTTCCTACTGTTTGAACCTCGAATTCCGTAAACTTTAACAAACTCAAGTTTGCTTCAAACGCTTTTCATTACGGCGGCTTTTATTTACAAAAACTCCAAAAATTATTTTCTTCCATACAGCAGTTCAAATAACTGATTTGTTACGAAAAACAGATTAAACCCCATCGACTGATCCATTTCCAATCTATTATGAAATTTTCAATTAAAATTCCTAGCAAAATAAAATTGTGTAAAATCTCCACCTGATATGGAAACAATCCAAATGGCCAAATAAAACCGAAAGTATTTTTCCAAAGAGTTCGCTTTTAACCATTCGATTTTCGCGAGAATCGACTGACTTTTCCTTAAAGTCTATTCCGGAACAGAGTTTCTTTCCATCCCCGCTCCCAACAGCCCCCGTGCGCTCCCTCATCCTGTTTCTTCCCCCAGGATCCGGCATGGCGCAGCTAACAGGATCACACGACCTGCTGGTAATATTTTTCCGTCTTTTTTTCGCAGTCCATCCAACCGAAAGTCAAAGGGCGATACTTCGTAAGGCTGTTTTTTTGTTGAAAACCCTGATTTCAACTCGGAAAATTAACAACTTGTGGATCATATATCGTAAAGTTATGTACTATTTACTGAAACCAACGAGCGCAATTTTTCGACTTTGTACGCATAAAAACTCCTTTGGGGGTGGAAAAAATACACTCAGGCTCTGGATATTTGTCATATTTTGCCACTGAGGGCACAAGAGTGAACTTATGTCCCGCCATTGTGGCTTTTTTAATGCAGTTCCGGTCGCGGGACCGTAGAAACTCGATTTAGGGCTCGTTCATAGGACGAAATATAAAATAAGGAAACCAGACGAAAAATAAATCATTTTTTATATGGGACCCGTGTCCTTAGGGCGATTTTTTATGTTTGGCTGGAAGAATTGGGAAAATATGTAGGTTCAGAAGGAATTTGAAGAAACCTTCAATAAATGCGTCTTTGGAAAAGTGCTTGAATTTCTTTCAAATGTCTGGCTATTGATTAATTCCGGTAAACAAATATTAGGGGATTGTTGTGTGCTTTTTAGGTGGCACGTGTCCGCCCTTTTATAGGGGACTTTCCCAACGGAAGGGCACATTAAAGCGATGTCATCCCAACTAAATAATGCTTTGAATGTTGACGAAAAACGCATCACTTTTAGGCTGAAACGAAAAAACTCTGGAGCAGAGTTAAATTGTTGTCAAGCCAAAAACCTCTTTGATGGTGTTGAAGTCGCACCCGAACAATGCATATCTGTTAAATTTTACCATTCATTAAACAAACGTCCGTTGGATTATTAAAGATTTTAACGAGCTGGTGTGTTAGACGCGGTTTGACACACATGTGACGATCAGATCAAAAGCCGACACACACTTATTGCCATCATATTTCACGCATTTCAAACAATTGAGTCTATTCAGTCGTATTTATAGCGAACACCAAGCCGATATGGGGGAGTGTTTTCATGTTTCCAGGCTGCGTTATTATGGCTCTTCTTACCTGGAGAGGATTTTCGAGACACATCCATGGGACACGCGAAGTTGCCGGGATATATCACAGGGCCGGACTCCGTTATGGGCTAATTCGACGATTCGTTGTCGAACAACGTCTGGCAATGGTCGTCCATTTACGAACACTCCACCCAGCTGATTAACACCACCATGACCTGAAACAGGGAAATTTTTGTTAAGAATTTTGAATTTATCCTTGACGCAAAAATGAATATCTTCAGCCTCATTTCCAGATTGATTGGGTTGAGTTGAAACCAATCGTCCCAAATTTTCACATTCTTAACTCATTTATTTTCAGAGCATGCAAGAACAAAAAGCGAAACTAAACTTCCACTACTATTGCCTTTAAACCATAATTTTAGGCAAAAAATGTATGTTGCATTTAATAATCAGTAATATTTTTAGAATATAAATTAGTTTGCAATTGAAACCGACGAAAACGCTTTGCAGATGTTTACTCGGTTGAAGCTCGTCAATGCCAATTAAAAAAGAAACGAGCATCAGCATACTGCACATCGGCAATGATCAAGAAATCCTTTCTATACGCAACCGGATACTCGTAAAAATCATTATAACAATTTACCCAAATACTGAAATTCGTTACTATCGAATTTCTCCGAGGATCATTAAAACCGTTTAAATACGATTTTAATGATTCGTTATAAAATGATAAACACCGTTTTTATACGGTTCGAGACCATTCAGGTTATGGCCATAATTTTGTAATGTTTTTTGCATAATTGTTCGGCAGGGCAAAAGACAAGTTACGGACCAAGCCGTATTACCTGGGGACATGTGAAAGGAAATTTAAGAATGGAGCAAACTGGGGCAATGTTAACTTCCCCAAGACCTGGGGCTGGAGGCTTTAGATGCAAATAGCCATGGAAGCTGAGCTCCTAAGAGGTCCTAAGGAAGCGACTCAGTCTGCAGAAAAGCGAAGAAATTGAAGCATTTTCAAGCAAAGCACCAGATAATATGGTGCAGTAAAACTGGGAACATCTGAAGTGAGGAAAGTGAGATGAAGAAAAGCACCTACACAAAAAAACTGCTTCTTAAAAAAGCTTTCAGCTTTCCAGAACATTATGCGGAATGTTTTTGCGACTGTTAACTGCAATGAATGATACTTATTCATAAGTGCATAAACGACCGCAGAAACAACCCGAAAATGCTATCTTTTTAAGAGGCACGTGTCGGACACGTGGCTCATCCCCGTTCGACTGTTGGCAGTCAGTGATAAAGTGACTTCCGAAAAAAATAATAATCCAGACATCCTGAGCTTCAGCGACGTTTATTGTTCATGGGGCGCAAGGGAGTTTTGCACAAGTGGCTGGAAATCAGCAGCAAATTCACTCGATATATATATATATATAATCTTTATTTCCTACAGAAAAAGACTATCGACCCAATCGGTCTTCCTGCCCTTGTTTAGTCCATATGTGTCTTAGCCTAGCTTATTCTAAAATTGATTCCTATTCCTAACACTCGTATAAATTAATCAGCTATAAAAAAAGTAAAAAAATAAAAATTCTTGGCTTACAAAACAAGCATATCTTAGTCCTTAGTTCAGTTGCGTTTGTAGGTGTTCTAGTAAAGTATCTGTTGGGGAACGAAAACGGGAGTGTTTCGTCGGTCTTGTGAGGCAAAAGGGATTCAGTATGGTCCAGTTGTGGGGGTTGTTTGTCCATTTGGTCTGTAAGTGTTTTAGTCTTTCCGAAATTTTTGTCATGTTTGTGCGTTCGTATAGTAGTTGGTTGGATGGGTTGTGCAGTGGGTTTTGGGGGTGTCTTATTCGTGTTATTAGTCTTAGTGCAATTTGTTCTGTTGTTTGTACGTATCGTTTTGTCCTTTCTGTTCCGTTGGCCATGAGTATATGTCATGAGTATAATTCACTCGATTATTGTCCACTTCTATGTTTTGTTTCATTTCGGTTTGGCTCCCTGTAGCCCCAATCTGTGATCGAATCCTGCTAGTTTTGGTAGAAGTAGAGCAAGTTCAAAAAAACCAGTTCTCAAAATTACACAGATTTGGCTGATTTGTTGTTCAGAATATTTCTTCAGTGGTTACAGAACTTGAACGTTCAAAAAGTATGTGTTTTCGTGAACAATGCATTTTCTAACCATCTTAAGCATTATAGTTGGGTTAAACACAGACTTGTGGAGACAATATTAGACGTGTTTTCCAAACGAAACAAAAACGTGCCTAAATGCAAAATTTTCTTTTGAACCGATAACTTTTGTTAAGTTTTCAAAAAATCCTTCTTACGTTCGGACCGAAACACCGATCCAAATGCCGTTATCACAGCAAACTCAACGATTCAAACCTTGTTTGGCACAAGTTTTCAAAGGGAAATAGGAGCGCTTTCTCTTGAAAATCCCGACGAGAATGACCACCTGTCACTGAAAGATAACGAGGAAACATGACCCCCTAATACAAATATAATCCTACTTATCAGTGGAATACATCCGCCTAAATATCAACCACTTAACAGACACATGTCGTGATTCTTATCACGATTATCGGACGATCTAAAACACTTCTGCGGGGGTTCAAAGGAGGCGCACTGTCCCTCCGGCCGCCTGACGACACTGATCCAGCCCCGATTGCTTTATTGGACACGGGGGTGTGAATTAATCGACGTAAGTGAATCAAATTGAACCGGACACGATAGTATTTGATTTTTTCTCGTGGCATCGACAACGTCGAAAACCGAAATTAATTCGGCATTCTCTAATTGGCCTGACCGCAACATCCATGACGCGGCACAATGGAGAATGATAAATGGAAAACCCTTTCCACGATTTCCCAACCCTTTAGCCTTCCATTAGCGGCGGAAAATGGTGATGCTTTACCATTGCATGTTTTTAATTATTACTACCTTTGACTGAATAGAGCTGAAACAAATTGTGCTATTAAATGCGGCGAGAGCATCGCTTAGTTGCGGTCATATCATATTTTGTGGAACCTATTAAGTACCCAGGGTTCTTCGAACGCTCATTATTTTCGAATTTATGATACACTTTAACATTGGAGAATATGTCGACGAAATCTCTTAATGCGTATTGTGTATGACCCGATTTCTACGTGATTTTGTCTAGTTCCATACAGCAAATCATAAATTTAGGCTGGAATTATATTTTTCTTATTTCAAGTCAATGTTCCATTTTAATCAACCATCAGTCGCTCTCAGTTAGGACCGCAACAAACTCATTTTTGTGTATACTTTCTTGAATTAACTCGTTTTTAATTAGCAAGAAAAATTATAGCTAGAGGATTAAAACCGGAATAAGAAACACTCCAAACCATTGAAAAATTAATAAATTAGAACACTCTGAGAGAGGGTCAGATGCCTAAAAATATACAAACGACTAGTTTGGATAAACATATAAGGTCTAAAAATGGAGCTGATAAAACGCAAGATAAAACTGCGTTTAAATTACAAAATACGGCAACATGCATTAAATTAAAGGCAAACACACCAATGGAAATGGGCAAAATTAAGTCTTTAAAGAAGAAATAAACAAAATATAGACGGGATTTCGTCGGCAAAATCATGTAGAGCAACTGCATTTTAACAAATTAAACACAATTTTAAAAATGTATAAAAATGAATGAATGAACAAATCAGAGGACATGCGAAATTAACATTACATAAAATTAACAGCGGTAATAAGAAAGAAAACCACACTACCAATACCAGAAAATTCACAGATGGACGATCCCAAATGTATTTATTGAAATAAATTGTAAGCAAACGATCAAAGAAGTTGTGCATGGAGAAATTATGAAACATCCAAGTAAATGCAAAAAACCCAAACTCATGAAAAACTAAAAGAGCATTTTAAGCGAAAAACAAGTAAAAGCTGAAGGCTACCATCAGATATCTTGCAAAAAAATGAAGAAACAAATTAGCGAATAGCTGACGCAAAAATGAATATCTTCAGCCTCATTTCCATATTGATTGCGTTGAGTTGAAACCAATCGTCCCAAATTTCACATTCTTAACTCATTTATTTTCAGAATATGCAAGGACAAAAAACGAAACTAAACACTTTTTTAAAGATGTATAAAAATTAATGAATGAACAAATCGAAGGACATGCGAAATTAACATTACATAAAATTAACAGCGGTAAAAGGAAATAAAACCACACTACCACCACTAGAAAATGTACAGATGGACGATCCCAAATGTATTTATTGAAATAAATTGTGAGCAAGCGATCAAAGAAGTTGTGCATGGAGAAATTATGAAACATCCAAGTAAATGCATAAAAACACAAACTAATGAAAAACTAAAAGAGCATTTTAAGCGAAAAACAGGTAAACGCTGAAGGCTACCATAAGATATCCTGCAAAAAAATGAAGAAACAAATTAGCGAATAGCTGACGCAAAAATGAATATATTCAGCCTCATTTCCATATTGATAGGGTTGAATTGAAACCAATCGTCTCTAATTTTCACATTCTTAACTCATTTATTTTCAGAATATGCAAGGAAAAAAAACGAAACTAAACGCTTTTTTTAAAGATGTATAAAAATGAATAAATGAACAAATCAAAGGACATGCGAAATTAACATTACATAAAATTAACAGCCGTAATAGGAAAGAAAACCACACTACCAACACCAGAAAATTCACAGATGGACGATCCCAAATGTATTTATTGAAATAAATTGTGAGCAAACGATCAAAGAAGTTGTGCATGGAGAAATTATGAAACATCCAAGTAAATGCAAAAAAAAACACAAAATAATGAAAAACTAAAAGAGCATTTTAAGCGAAAAACAAGTAAAAGCTGAAGGCTACCATAAGATATYTTGCAAAAAAATGAAGAAACAAATTAGCGAATAGCTGACGCAAAAATGAATATCTTCAGCCTCATTTCCATATTGATTGGGTTGAGTTGAAACCAATCGTCCCAAATTTTCACATTCTTAACTCATTTATTTTCAGAATATGCAAGGATAAAAAACGAAACTGAACGCTTTTTTTAAAGATGTATAAAAATGAATGAATGAACAAATCAAAGGACATGCGAAATTAACATTACATAAAATTAACAGCGGGAATGGGAAAGAAAACCACACTACCACCACTAGAAAATTTACAGATGGACGATCCCAAATGTACTTATTGAAAAAAATTGTGAGCAAA